CGGAGTGGGTGGTAAGGGAGGGGGTGGGGGCAGGGGGGAGAAATGAACCAAGCCTTGTATGCACATATGAATAATAAAAGAAAAGGGAAAAAAAATAAATAAAAACAAAAACATTAAAGAGAAAAAAAAAAAGAATAACCACATTGATATGGGGGTATTTGTAGTTTCAAATAAAAAATAATGCTTTTAAAGAAAGATATGGTCCTGCTGGGTATGTGTTAAAATTAAATTAGGTAGTCTTATTGTTTGAGCCTATATGTCATTTTTTATAAAAGATTTTTATGTACTGAAAACCCACAATGGTCTTTAATCTAGTTTTAGAATAAAAGTATTTTCTTATTCTTACACAGCAGTACACAGAAACTTTCAAATGTATGCTACCATTTATGTCATAATATAAACATAAACATCACTCTTGAATAATACCTTTATTCTCTGTTCTCACTTACTGCCCTTTGAAAAATCAAATTTGTTTTTGAACTTGTTTATCCACAGCGGAGACCTCTGAGTCAGCTGGAATGAAGGAGAACCAAAGGAATTCCCAATAGTATTGGAAATTAAATCCATGATACTAGGTTTTACCTCAGCTGGCTTGCCAACACCCACCACAATCAATTTGCCATCTTCTAAACCTACAAGAATGTGGCTGTATTCTTTGGTTACACAAACACAGTGGATAGGCAATCGCATGGCTAATGGGGTGATGCTGAGATTCAAACTAGAAGAGAAACAAAAAACACAGACATAATTACATGCGTACCTCATGGATGCACAGAACTGTGTATAAACTCCAAGATAAATTAGTGATCTGCATTACAATTTTACAGATGTGGGAACTCAGGTTCAGACAGTCTAAGTAACTTACATAAGGAACCACATTTATAGCAATACTTAAAAAATACTTTATCAATAGATCTCTTTTCTTTTCTCAACATCTGTTTTTCTTCTAAACATGTAATAAAACAAAATATTAATAAGTCATCCATCAACCTAATACATAAAAATTATTTTCTTTACTCTCAAGAGAACCCTACATTGTCTCTTCAATTTTGTAATCCATTCTATTAAAAATTCTCTTTCTGATTCATCGTTTACCTGAGGCAAACGATGTTTGCCTTGCTCTGTTCCCTTGACAAAGGGTTGCTTGGTGGGATCAGAGGAAAGGTGAGAGAAAAAGTTAGGAAAAAATAAGTAGGATTCTCTGTGGACATTAACTAGAAAATATGCCTGAAATCTAGCATAGTGCACATCATGTTCCTTGTTATTCTTGTATCTTTAGGCTTCATTTTTTTTCTTGTTTTTCTTTTTGAGCAAGGTCTTGCTATGTAGCCCAGGCCAGTGTCCTATGGTAATCTCCTGCTTCAGCTTCCTGAGTGCTGGGATTACAGGTATGCATCACTATGCCTGGTTGTGTATCACTTTCTTATTCCTTGCCTATTCTCATTTCCGTAAGAAGGCCTCCCCCTTTCTATCTCCATTTCATTTCCTACTAATCTTTCAAAAAGACTCCTCTGAATACTCAAGTTCTCAGTAATTCTTAATTTCTTTCTTTTTTTTGTGGTACTGGGGCTTGAACTCAGGGCCTTCACCTTAAGCCACTCCATCACCCCTATTTTTTTTTTTTTGTGAAGGGTTTTTCGAGATAGGATCTCACGGAACTATTTGCCCAGGCTGGCTTTGAACTGTGACCCCCCTGATCTCTGTCTCCTGAGTAGCTAGGATTATAGGCATAACCCACCTGTGCCTGGCTTTTAATTTCTTTTTTTTTTGGGGGGGGAGTGAGAACTGGGGTTTGAACACGGGGCCTTGCACTTGCTAGACAGGTGCTCTATCACTTGAGCCACTCCACCAGCCTTCTTACTGTTTTATAAACTCCTCTGCCCATATAACCAATACCAGTTAATTTGGTTCTTAAATTGTCCTAATTAGAACACAGATATTAGTATTTCTCTTATCTTTTTGTTTATTTTGATTTTTTGGAGACTGGGTCTTGCTACAGCCCAAGCTGACTTTAAATTCACTATGTAGCACAGGCTGGCCTCAAACTCTTGATCCTTTAGCTTCAGCCTTCCAAGTGCTGAGATTATAGGCTTTTTTATTAAGTGCTTTTCACCTTGTTGATTAGGAAGTGAAAGTTGGATAAGGAAGTTGAAAAGCTCAAAAAATACATGTATGTTTGTGCTTTGGAGGTCAATAAAACTGGTTAATTTGCATTGTTTGATATTCGATTATGATAAATGCCTGAGTTTATTTAATGATTAGGAAACAAAGTATAATATATACATATATGTGATATATTCTAAAGTGCTAAACGATTCCATTCATTTTTTTTCTCCTAACAGTGCCCTAAAACCAGGGTTGTAAAAATTTTTTGGAGATACATAATTGAAATGCTCTACCACAGAACAAAAGGCAAAAATAAAGAAAATATAAAAATAGGGAGGAGATTTTGGCATAGAAGTGAATCTGATAATAGATGTTCTAAGGTAAATACTCTAGATCAGGAAAAATTTTTAAGAATGATTGGGGGAGGGTGACAAGACAGTCAGGGTGATATAAATAAATCTCAATACATTTTTTAAGGGAAGAGAAGAAAAGAATGTATTTGGGGGGTGCATAAGGAAAAATAGTAATTTGTGTATTTAAGCCAGTAAATATAAAGAATGCCAAACATACACACTCCTTAAATATCCCTTTCCTTCACTGGGTTAAGTAACAGAAGATTACTCACCAATTTTATATACACACACAAATATGTTAACCTTAAAAATAGTTTGTCTTACCAAAATGTAGAAACCCTTTAGTTTGCTAGAATTGGAACAAATTTCCAAATCCAGAATCCAGGCTTGGCATTATGAAAGCTTTTTCCTGGTTTTACATATTAAAAATTTAATTGTGGTAAAATATAAATAATGTATATATTTCTACATATTTTCATATATATATATTTCACTAATCCAGGAATACTTTCACTCACTCAATTGTCTCATAGTTGTGAAAAGGGGTAATTTTTACAGTAAGTGATAAAAGAAATTTTAGATTCCTGGTGTCTATTCTAGGATAGAAGTACTGCTACCTTTTTTGAAGTGATAATTCAATAATTTTTAAAACTTACCTGTGGAGATCTCTTATAGACAGGAACCCCTGTAAACTGCCTGTGACAATGTGTTCTCCAATTACACATATATCTGATATTTGTTCCTTCAGGTCTTGAGATCCCAGATATTTGCCATTTATAGAAAACAGGTGTAATGCATTTTTATCCTGCAAAGAATTGATGAGGAAAACTTAAAGATCTTGAATAAAAGCTGAGTTTTTACACTGTCAGTTAAAGCAATGACTAAAACAGAATGCTAAAAATTTTGGAGTAGCAGACTGTGGGCGCTCGTGCCTATAATCACAGTTATTCAGGAGATTGGGAGGATCATGGTTCAAGACCAGTCTGGGCAAAAAGATAGCAAGATCCCATCTCAACCAACAATCAGGATGTGGTGGTGTGTGTCTGTGGTCCAAGCTATGCAGGATGTGCTAGGTAAGGAGGACCATAATCTGAGCACAGTCCTAGGCAAAAATGTGAGACACTTCCTGAAAAAAGATAACTAAAGCAAAAAAGGTGTAAATGTGGGGCTCAAGTGGTAGACTGCCTATCTAGTAAGTGTGCTCCCTGCCACCACCAATTTTTTTCTGAATAAAAATGTGACTGCATTTAAGTGTAGATAAGGGCTGTTGGAGTGGCTCAAATGGTAGAGCATCTGCCTACCAAGTGTGAGGCCCTGAGTTCAAAAACAAAAACAATAATGGTGTTCTCAGCCAGGTGCTGGTGGCTCCTGCCTGTAATCCTAGCTACTTGGGAGGCTGAGATCAGGAGGATTACAGTTAGAGGCCAGCCTAGGCAAACAGTTTGAGATCGTACCTCCAAAATAACCACAGCAAAATGGACTGGAGGTGTGGCTCAAGTGTTAGAGTGCCTTCTTTGCAAACAAAAATCCCTGAGTCTGAACTTCAATCACACCCAAATAAATAATTAAATAAATAATAAAATGAGGGAGGGAAAGAAATGCTAGTGGTAGTCTATACTACTGCACACAAGCATTCTGTACCTTGAGAGTGGTCTTTTCCTCAATGCTGGAATAGATAACGATATGTCCTTCCCAAGAGATAGCCAAATTGGGAATGGTCAGGAACAGACAGCTCTCACAAGGTGGTCTTAAAGTCCTCATGTACTGCCCTTTTTGAATGGTGTGTATAATCACAGTGCCATCCTACTTACAGGAAATTCAGAACATGGAAGACAACAAAAAAGAAGAAAGTAGCATCTAGATAAGAAAATGTGGGAAGGGAACTGAGAAAATGACTATTCCATCAACGACATATGTACCTTAGGAAAAATTCCAATCCTAAAATTTTTAGTAGTATTTATCTCATAGAATACTCACTTCCCTTAACTAATATGACCAATAAAAAATCTCAAACAGAATCCAGTCTCTATGTTTTTTCTGTTTGCATTACTATACTTTTGCAATATCCCAAATAAATATGGTAAAAAATTTCTTTTATTATTTCCCTTAGAAAACCTTTAGATATAACCATTACTACTGAATTTACAGAAAAAAATAGTATTTTTCTAAAGGTGAAATCTTACCCTTGATCCTGACACTGCCATGTCCAGTTCAGTGCTGATGCCCACACTTAGTACCTCATCAGTGTGTCCATAAAGAATCTGGAAAGGTTTAGATGCTAAACCCAAAGGAGTACTTCCCTAATATTAAAAAGGAAGAACAAAGGTCAAGAGTTTTTTTTTTTTTTTGCTGTTTTTTATAACAAGAATTATACTGTACTTAAAATTTGCAGTAACAAAACAAAGTAATACTGTAGGTAGTTAAAAACCACTGAGTCTATACATGGTAATACTCAGTCTTATGTTTTTCTTGAATTCTTGAATTACTTTCAAACTTTTGAACTTCAAAAACTTAACCTGAATGATCTCGATGTTGACTGTCTTGGATTAATTTTTCCAGGTTATTTTTCCTTTAAATTTATAGATTTATCCTTCTTTAACTTCAGATAAACTTTTTATTCTACATCTATGAACACTTTCTCTTTCCCACTTATTAGAATCTCTGCTTTAGGGACCTCAATTATCTTTATGCTGATTTGTCTCTAACTTCCATAATTTGGTTTGCAGTCAAATTACATCTATTTCTTGTTGTTTCTGCTTTGGGTTTACTTACATTTGTAGTGGTATTGGTTTTAATCTCAGTTTGATTCTTCTGTGTCATCCCTTTTCATTTTACTATGCTAAACTTAACATTTCCACTTTGAGTTCCTATCTTATTGAATATACATTATGTTTCCCTAGTAACAGAAATTTATTATAGAGGGTTCCTCTTTTCTATGCTTTGTTTCAAGAGAAGATTCTTTATGTCTTTAGCATGTTTGTGTTGTATTCTACTTTATATGCTAAGGCGTATTTGAATACTTGTTATGTTATTTGTTTTATTCATGATTATTTTTGGGAATGCTGCTCAGGTCTTCTATCTGTTGCTATATTGTGTGCATGAGTTTCTGTAGACTCTGCTACCTGGGACACATTTGTCTTTCCCTACAAGGGTCAGTCTGTGTGCCTAGTGTACTTCACCTAACTTACAAATTGAGCAATTCCTGTATTACTTAAACAATCTGAGTTACAGAAAAAGATAAACACTTCTTAAATTCATTTTTAAAAGGTTACATATCCCAGTATTAAACAAGATAAAGACAGAACAAAACTGATCTATTTCACTCGAGAGAAGAGAAGAAATTTAAGTACTAGCAACAAACACTACTAAAATGTAATAGCAATACACCATGAGTAACGTGGTTTTATTATAGAAATTCAAGGATGTTTCAAATCTATGAAGTCCCTTGATAGATTACATCAAGACAAAGTAAGAGAAAAACTACAAATAAATGAAGAGAAACATAGCCTCAGAGGACATTACTGTGATCATTGGCAAAATTAGAACACAAACTGTGTGGGTCAGAGAATAGTTCTGTATAAATGTTGTGCATTCTGACTTTGGCAGCTGTGCGTGGTTATATATAAGAATGTCTCTGTTCTTAGAAGGATGCCAAGGGGAGGATTGTAAAACAGATCCTGCTAGAAATTTTTGGAAAGTAATAGGGTATAATGGGATGAAGATAATAAATCAATAAAACAAACAAACATGGTGATTGAGATAGGACAGAATGCTCGTGACAAAATGCAGAAGAGCTCAAAAAGTCACTCACTGCCAGAGAAAAATTCATTACCCTTGTAAAACACCACAGTTTTCTTGTGATCTGTCTCTAATCTAAACCAAGAACATTTCAATGTGTGACTACCTGATTTATTATTTGCCATATCATACAAGTAGTATCTCTGGAACCAGAAATCAAATGTATTCCACAGTAATCTGTAGCTAAGCAAGTCACAATATCTGAAAGAAAAATGAATAAAATAAAATGGTTTTGTTTTGTTGAAACAATTTTGAAGGCAACTTTAGTTAATGTTCAAACTATTACTAAACCAATTTTTCTAACAAGGAGGAGTAGGAATTGCATTGTAAAACAGTGGTAGTGACAGAAAAGAAGCAGTTTCAAAATCACCTAGGAGAGTTTTCTTGGAGACAATCGTTTTTTAGAGTGAGATACAAATGTGGGGTGCATGGAATGGCTATCAAAATCTTGGGAGAAGGACGGACAGTTTGAAATGGATCCCAGGTAATGGAGGTGCTTCTCTGCCCTCTCATCCTATTCACCTTCTCCTCCCCTCGGGCATTGCAATCTTACAGAATATGTACCCTTAAGGAAAAACAGTACATGTATTATGGTATAAATTCAAATATTTTTCCTGAATCGTAAATTGCTGAGCCAATGACATCACTGGAATAGAATTAGCTCAGGAGACTTCATTTCCATTCCTTAACAAGCTTATTAGAAAAGAATGACTCAGCATTTTATTCTTATATGGAAGACTGAGAAAATAAAATGTGCTAGATTAAACTACATTCAACAATTTTCTCTCTCTTTCTTTACTGTTAACAGAGTAATGGGCAATTATGTATTATTTAACGATGATAAATTTTATTGTTATTTTGTTTTAAAATCCTTATTTCTGTCAGCAATTTAGGCTGTAAAAAGACAGCCTAACATCTATACACAATGAAGGTGTTTTAGTATATTCTCAACACACTAGACAGTTTTATAGGGAATATGAACTACTTTTATATAGTTGAAAAAAACAGAAAAAAATTTTTGAAAAAAGTTAATCCTTACCCATATGTCTGATGTTGTGTGAGATAATTTTGCCTCTTGTAAGTGACATCACTTGAATGCTGTTATCCCAGTGTCCAGCAGTGAAGAGCAACTTTGCATCATGTGATACTACAAACAGCTTAGAAGTGACCTCTAGCCCTGGAGCAAAAGGACTATTCATACTACGCTGAGTTCTGTAAACACAATTAAGTATTAGACTTTCCTTAAAGGATCACTTAGACTGATGTTGACTATTTTTAAAAACCTCTAAAAAATAAAGTCCCTTTTGGGTGTCAGGTGGATCAGAAGGATTGTGGGTCAAGGCCAACACTGGCGAATAGTTTGTGAGACCCCCATCTCCAAAATAATCAGAGCAAAATGGGCTGGAGATGTGGCTCAAGTGGTATAGAACCAGTGTGAAGTCCTGGTTCAACCCATGCCAAGTACCATCAAAAAAATAAATAAATAGAAAAATAAAGTCCCAAAAGCTTTATTTGTAATATCTATTAATAAATGAGAAACTTCTAGGAACAACAAGATAGAATATACCAGGAATAGGAAAATCAGAAATAAACTAAAACCAGTAATCTCCTATACAAGGTGAAGTACAGAGATAAGTCAGTCTCGTAGCCAACAAGACTCATGACATCATGACAACTGTCTTCCATCCCAACCAAAGCAAGCATGTGGCTCTTATTTGCTTCCAAGTGAAATACCTATGGGCTTATACAATCTAGGTTCTGCAGAAAGACAAAAGTAATTACACACTTTAGTGTGTATAAAGAAAATGAAGGCTAATTCTGACACTTCAGCTCTAGAACTTTATTGTTCAATATTAATTTGCTGAGAATATGCTTTGTGCAAAGCTAATAGCACTAAGTTCTATGAGGGAGAAAAGGGGGAAAGGCCATTGCCTCCGAACCTTGTGGGGTTTTATTCTAATTGAAGAAGAAAAGACACAATGATAACACTTATATCATTTTAACCAGATTTCAAGTATATGAAGCAATGTGATCCTCAAAGCAACATAAAATGTATTTAGCTAGAAAAAAATACAAGCAAACATATAGCTAAGACAACTTAGAATGAGCAAAATGCCACCTTAAGTTAGAATAACTTTTGGAGATTAAAAAAATATGATGGAAGCCTATTAAATATGTATGAAAATAGCATAATGAAACTAAAAATTGTAAAAAAGAAGGGGGAACAGGGTTTAAAAAGTGAACAGCAATGAGGTGAATTTGATCACAGTCTATTATATGCATATATGTAAATATCACAATTAATTGTATAGTTAATATATCCTAATAAAACTTTGGAAAAATAACTAAGATAAACACTAGATTCTTATTACATAAAACACATGGTAACTTATTATTATTTGTAAATAGTAAAGTAAGATAAAATTACAATCACATTTATTATTCCTAATGTAATTTTTGCTTATGTAGCTGTTACTATTGAAATTCAGCCTTATTGGAAGAAAAGAAAATCTGGGTCTAAAACACTACTTTGAAAATGATAGAAATGGACAGGGGCTGTGGCACATGGCTGTAATCCCAGCTACCTGGGAGGCAGAGATTGAGAGGATTGCTGCTCAAGGCCAGCTAGAAGTTTAAGGCAAAAAGTTAGAAAGACAACACCTGAACAAGTTGTGTAAGGTGTCACATGCCTGTGATTCCAGCTACATGTGAAGGCCATAAGTAGGAGGATCATGGTCTGAGGCTGACCTGAGCAAAAACCTTACCTGAAAGATAACTAAAGCAAAAAAGGGCTATGGGTGTAGCTCAAGTGGTAGCGGGCCTGCCTAGCAAACACTAAAGCCTTGAGTTCAAACACCAAAACCACCACCACCACCAAAAAAAAAGGGAATCAATCTAGTTGCTTTGCCTGGCCATAAGGGACCTGCTGTAGCTGTTAAGTTTTCAGTGTTCATTTACTTACTTTGGATTTGTCACAGTTTGGTCCTTGATGAATGTAAAGTAATTAGATATGTTTCTGTCATAAGGCAGCCATCCATGGGTTCCAATAACGTAATTCATGCTCACTGTGACCTGAGAAAGAACATATGAAACCTCAAGGTCCAAAAGCAGAAAAGAATAACCAGATGCTCACAGGATGCTGCACCTATCATCTGGGGACTGCTGTGGAGCAGTGCACCTAACACATGAACTCCATCAAATCTTAAAAGAATTCAAATGGAAAAAACTCTGTATCTTATTATAAGAAGAGCTGTCCTTCTTTAGTAAGATTATTTTTCCTCATAATTTCTCAAAGCTTATTAGCATCTATTAATTGCCAGTCAGAGGAAATTCAAAAGCATGTCTCACCACAAATATATGACATACATAATTTAGAACATAAATCAGTACAAATTATGATGATCTGTTAAGGTCTCCTTAAGTCATAGTCATAGTTAATATGTTCTTTTGAAAATGAAAGCCTTTTTACTCCCCCAATTATAAAACAGGTTACTTACCCCGCCCCCCCATAACACCCTACTGCCCAATTCAGGAAACCTAAAAAAATATATAGGTATTGCTGGGTGAGATGGCTCATGCCTATAATCCTAGTTACTTGGGGGAAGAGATCAGGAGGATCATGGCCAGCCTGAACAAAATTTCTAGAGACCTTATCTCAATCAATAAAAAAGCTGGGCATGGTGGCAGGGGCCTGTATCCCATCTAGGTGGGAAGCATAATAGGAGGGGAGTGGTTCAGGTTACCCAGGAATAAAGGTAAGATCCTATGCAAAAATAACTAAAAGCAAAAAGGATTGGTGGTTTGGCTCAAGTAGAGGCCCCAAGTACAAACCCTTGTACCACACACACACACAAAATAAATAAATAAACAGGTATTAAAATGGAAAAATCACAGGACTCCATCAGTGAAAAGATACTTATTGTTTCTGTATATCTTTCTGGAAATTTTTCTAAGCAGACACAATATTCAAAACTACAAAAATAGACTTAATTCTGGAGTCTCTACTGTTCACTGTGCCATATCACATTTTTCTCATTCCTAAGTGACAAACTTCGAATAAGACAGTCCTTGGTTTTATCAAAATGGCAAGGGTCCAGATCCCTTACTTGCTAGCTCTGCGATTTGGGGCAAGCTACTTGAGTTTCAAAATGTCTTAATTTATAGAAAGGAAATAATAATAGTGACTATCTCACAGGTTTGCTAGTTGGATTAAATGAAAAAGCAATACAAAATACAATGGAGTGCTCTGGATGTATACCTTAGAAATTTCTGTATTATCTCCAATTATCATTATTATAGTTTTAAAATAAATTTAAATATGAGATGTTAGCCCCTATTTTTCTTCTGTTTTAATTAGGATATATTCACTATATGGGGGGGATTTGTAATGATAATTTTAATTAGAATTGTACATTACATTGTACATTAGTTACACTGCCCCCATTGTTTCTCCCCCTTGGCCTATTTTTCTTATATAACATTTAAAGTTTATTTATTTCTCCAAATAAACTTTAGAATTAGAGTAATTGCAAAACTATAAAAATAGAAGATATACTTTTGTACTTCATCAAATTCTGTAAAAATTTTCACTACTATTTTTAAAATGGCTTTAAAAATGTTTATTTCTCATTTTTTGGTAAGTTGTAATGGACATAGACATGACTGTGAAAAAGGAATAAACCAACTTACCAGTAACTCAGGGCTGCCTTGAGACATAAAAGAACGAGACTGATTTTTGGGGACAATGGCCTTTAGTAGTGGAATACCATCACTAATCCCCTAGAAAATAAAAGCTCTTTAGTGGTTGGTTCTGCTTATATTTATTAGGTACAAATTACTGAATACTTCTACTTCTTTAAATAAGGTGATACATGCAATAGAGCAATTTATTCTATCGAGCTACATAGTCATTTAATTTAAAATGTGGGAAAGGAATTATATACCATGATTGTATGGAATACTTGACACTTGTGAAACCCATTACCTTTTTCTATTCCACTACTCTGCTGTTAAACAGAGAGCTAGGCTTTAAGGAGCAGCTAGGGATTTGCAATCTTTCTTTTTCCCTTGCTACACTGACATGATATAAAGTAGAAAATATAGATCAAATAAGTTTCTCAAACAAATTAAACAGGAAAATTGGTTATAATTTATAGGAAAAACTTTTGGGTCTCAATGTTAAAAAACAGATATACTTTGTTAACTGAAGTACTTCCTGAAAGCCATAATATTACTATGAGAAAATATGGTTCTCAAAACAGTTACCACAATCTTATTATGAAAGAGAACAGTAATTTTAACTTAGTTCCTTGATATGAAAATAGTTCAAAAATGATACCTCACATGTATTAATTAAGTAAATAACATTATTGGGCATGTACTATGTACCAAATACCGTTCTAAGAGCTTTGTAATATAAAATAACATAAAATTCACTGTAATTTACAAAATTATAAAATGTTAGTACTTTTCAAATTATGAATTAATACAGAATGACTTGCACTTGAACAAGGCTAAATGAGAATGGTATTTGAAAAAATCCATTTATTAAAGCCCTTGCTTTCACTACTACCTCCATTCTCTTCACCATTTTAACACCTAGGAAGTGTTTCTCCATATACTCTTTATGATGAAAAGTGACCAACAAGTTATTAGTACACAAGGATATCTATTGTGTTCTTTATCTTGCTCACTCCAAATAATGTTCTTGGGAAAAGTTTCCAAGTAACATGGTGCACATAGAAAGGGATAAATATGTCACTTGGATCTAGAGATGGAACTCAGAATGTATTATTTTATAAAAGCAGTGTCTCAAATAATAGGCATGATGGAAATAGTTCTATCAGCATTATATAATGTAACATTATATGTCCATCAGATTATAGGAAAAATAGGGTTGTCTTATGTGCAGTAAACAGTTAACACAGTAGACCTGAGACTGCTCTCCTTAGAAAGGTCTGCTTCCAAATTTGGCCCTTGATTGGCAAACAGTTCCTTACAATGACATAAAACTTTCCCTAAATGGTAAGGGTAGCTCACTATACTTATACTGTATAAAAACAATCTGGTTTATGCTGAATACCTACTTTTCTGGAATTTTGGTACATGCTAGGCAGAGGAGCTATATATAGCCTTGAGTACTGAGTCCCTTTGAAAACAACAACAAAAAAAGTTTTCATATTTCATTACAGGCAGAATTTAAGCATGCCTTGTGTCTGGCTTCCCTTGGACTTCTGCCTTTGCTGATGTTGTTTTGAATCATTCCACCATAATAAATCTTAGCCCTAAGTATAACTACATTAATTCTTGTGAGTCTTTCTCACAAATCACTGAACCTGTGTTGATGATCCCCAGACATCTTGAGAATTAGTCATGACTTATGCAAATTATTTCTGTATGTTCTGAGTTCTAGGCAATTGACTCAGATATTTTTGGTAAATGACTAACATTGTAGAGTTTGTGCTGTTAAACATTAAGTAACTTTTGTCAGTCAACATGAATCTAGGAAAAGAATGATGTATTAATTTTGAAGTGGTCACACAAATGTGAAAATACATCCATATTAAAATACTGACTAGGGCTGGCAGAGTGGCTCAAGTGGTAGAGTGCCTGCTTAGCAAGCTTGAGGCCCTTAGTTCAAGCCCCAATACTGTGAAAATAAAAATTCAAAACATAAAATACTGTGGCACTTAAAACACATTTATCTGAGTAAAACTCATTATAAAGCTTTAACCATTAAATTTTCAAATTTTCATAGTAAATTATCAAAAAACCTCTATAACATTTTCCCATGGTATTGGACATAAAAGATATATTATACTGATGCTCTAATGAAGGATTTTACAAATTTCAACCTGTGAGACAAATTTAGTCCACTGCCTGTTCTGTAGGTGGTGGGTGAGCTAAGAATGATTTTTCTATTTTTAGATAGCTAATTTTAGGTATTATATATGCACCTATATGATATCACTAATTTTGCTCATGGCCTACTAAGCCCAGAATATTCACAATCTGCTCCTTAAAGAAAATGTTGGCCAACCTCGGTGCATTGCATGAGGGACTGCTTGTGCTATGTGCATGTCCCCAAACTATTTTTAAATTACTAACTTGCTATCTTCATTTTTCTTTTTGTCAGGAGAGTTAATATTATGTCATAACCAAATTCATAGGTATAAATGCATTTCATAGTCACATTCTAAACTATTCATTTTACTACATATATTCACACAGGTAATTTTTAAAATTTAAAGGTATTCTCTCAATTACAACATTAATTACTCCTGTTTTATTTGACCATTTTTTCTAATACTATCAATCTAACTTTCTTGGAAAATATTTTATAGATGAGAAGACATTACAATGAGTGTTTTAAATAAAAATATTAGCTTTCTCTACATATTAACTTGACTGTCACAAAAAGTATCTTAAATCAAATTACTCATACTTTCTTGTCAGGAAAAGTAGTAGAAAGCTAAGAGAAACAGTTTAGACTACTATTCTGCAGCAAAAAAGCTTTTACTAAGTGTTTTAAAAATACAAGATCAAATTATTACAATATAATTTACTATTTTAAATTAACACTCCACTCCATTAAAGAAAAAAAATAAACTTTTCAGGTGTATAGACTTCAGAGAAAAAATTCTTTGATATTACTGAGTTAAATATTACCTCTATAAAAAATGACTTGAGTTCAGGAAGGTGTTGAAATAGGTTTAGTGCTGAAGTGTCTGTTTTGGACTGCTTCTGTATTGCTTCTTCTGCTGATAATCTAGGTGGGTGTGGTTCCTTCAAAATAATTTTAAGGAAAAATTCCATAATTACATTAAAACAACTCTCACCATGCTCCTTCATACATGCTGGGCTGAAGCTACAATAGACTGCATACCATGCACTATAAACAACTCCAGGCCAAGGCTTAGCTATTCCCATTTAGCAGTTACTACCCTTTGCTTTTCTATGGAACCACCCCTCCTCTACTTTAAATTTTTTCTTCCTGGTGTCTCTCCTGAGTTTCTAAGTCAGCATTAATTATCTTCTTTAATCATTTTCCTTAGCAAATTATTTAGTGCTCATTTCCTTCTATATTGGGTTACATATGGCTGTTTTAGGTCTGTCTTACTCATCTAGGGTATATGGTACCTTAAAGCCAGAGATAAGTCTTTGTCATTTTTTTGATTCTTGAATACCTAGGACAACATCTCAAACATGATAGATGCTTAATAAATGCTGGGCAAAATTAAATGCAGTATTCAACATTCAATATTTTAAATGTGGGTTAATCTAATTCCTGAAACAAGATGCAAATATAAATACTATAAAGATAAAATTATAGATATTACTGAATACTTTCAAATAAATTATTCTTCTTCCTTAACTTTTATGTCAGAGATGCAGAACAGAATCACTTTACATTTAATGAGCAGAAAATGGGACTGGATGTGGCTCAAATGATAAAGTAATTCCCTAGCAAGCCTGAGGACCTGAGCTCAATCCTCAATATTGCAAAACAAACAAGCAGAAAATGACAGATAACGTTATTATTTCAAAAGCTCAATTAAAATGTAGAATAGAATTCTATCTAAAAGGGATTCTTTTATTTCTGTCACAAAACAGGAGATTATAGGTAATAGATGTGACAGCTACAAGTACGTAAGTATGTAGCTCTGTCCTTGGATTATTTTGCTTATGATGACCTCTAGTCCATCTATTTTTCCTGAAAATGACATAATTTTTCATCTTTATGGCTGAATAAAGCTCCATTGTACCACATTTTCTTCATCCATTCTTCCACCAACAGACAACTAGGCTGATTCCACACTTGGAATTCACTATTGCAAATAGTGCTGTAATAAACATGGGTATGCAGGTGCTATATTATGTGCTGACTCTGATTCCTTCAGCGGCATACCTAGAGGTAGTGTAGTTGGATCATAAATATGGTAGTTCTAATTTTAGTTTATTGAGGAACCTCCAAACTGATTTCCATAGTGTCTGGAATAATTTCCATTACCAGTAACAGTGTATAAATGCTCCTTTTCCCATGTCACATCCTCACCAGAATTTGCTGTTGTTGTTATTCTTGATAAGAGTCATTCTGACTGGGGTAAGATGGAACTTCAATGAAGCTTTGATCTGAATTTCCCTGATGGTTAAGGATGTTGACCTTTCATATACTTATTGGCCATTTGTACTACTTCTTTCGAAAAATTGTTCATTTCTCCACTTACTGATCAGATTATTTTTGTTTTTACGTTTAATTTTTTGAGTCATTTGTATATTCTGGATACTATCTGGTGAAGATTTTTCCTCCCATTCTGAGACTGTCTTTTCATTCTGGTAAATGTTTCCTTTAATTTGATGCAATCCCATTTGTCAATTCTTGCTCTTATTTCCTGGGAAATTGGAATCCTATTTCAAAAGTCATTACTTATGCTTTTATCTTGAACTGTTTTCCCTCTAGTAGTTTCAAAGATACAGGTCTTACATTAAGGATTTTTTAATCCATTTTGAACTGATTTTTGTATACCATGATAAGTAGGGATCTAGTTTCAGAATCCTACATGTGGATATCCAGTTTTCCTAGTACCATTTGTTGAAGAGGCTGTTTTGTTTCCAATGTATCCTTTCTTAAGAATCAGATGACTATAGATGCATGGGATTACTTCTAGGAATTCTATTTTATTCGGCTACATGCATGTTTTTATTTCAGTACCATGAGGTTTTTGTAAAAGGTGTAAGATTTATAGGATCTGAAGAGAAACCACAGTACACCATGATTTTCTTACTAGGGCTCTGTAGCATAATTTGAAGTCCAGTATTTTGATACCTCTAGCACTGCTCAGGATTGCTTTGGCTTTTTGGGGTCTTTTGTGTTTCTATATGAATTTTAAGAGTTGTTTTTTTCTAGTTTTGTGAAGAATGTAATTGAAATTTTCATGGAGATTGGACTAAGTCTGTAAATTGTTCTTAGTAATATAGACATTTTGATAATTTTAATACTGCCAATCCATGAGGTATTTCATCTTCTAGTGTCATCCTCAATTTCTTCAGTGTTTTATAATTTTCATCATAAAAGTCTTTCACTTCCTTGGTTAAGTCTTATTTCTAGGTATTTTGTTTATTTACTTATTTTGAGAATAAGATTGTTTTCCTGATATCTTTCACAAAATGTTCACTATTGGTGTATGAAAAAGGTACTGATTTTTACATGTTGATTTTGTATTCTGCTACTTTGCTGAAAGTGTTTATCAGATCTAAGAGTTTTCTGGTGAAGTCTTTATAGAGAATTTTAAGTATAGGATCATATCATCTGCTAATAGGAATAATCTGACTTCCTCCTTTTTTATTTGTATCTGTTTTCTTTCTCTTGCATTATTGCTCTAAGAATTAGAGTATAATTTTTTTTAAACATTCCCTAATGACTCTTTGGATTTCATTAATATCTGTTATAATTTTTCCCTTTTCTTTCCTAATTTAATTAATTTGGGTCTTCTCTTTCTTTTGGTTCTGCTAAGAGGCTGCCATTCTTGTTTACGTTTTCAAAGAACCAACTCTTTGTTTCATTGATCCTTTGTTCTTTTAATTTCCATTTCATTAATTTCTCCCCAATCTTTATTATTGCTTTTCATCTACTCATTCTGGGTTTGTTCTTGTTTTCTAAGACCTTGAGGTGCATCCTTAGGTTACTCATTTGAGGTGTGATTTTTTTTTTTAAATGTAAGCACTCCTAGCTATAAATTTTCCTACTAGCACCGCCTTTGCTATATCCCAAAGGTTATCCCAAAGGTTTTTTGTGAAGGGTTTTTCGAGATGGGTTCTCTTGAACTATTTGCCTGAGTTGGCTTTGAACTGCTATCCTCCTGATCTCTGCCTCTTGAGTAGCTAGGATTACAGGCAAGAGACACCAGCGCCCAGCTTTTTTTTTTTTTTTCTGAATAATCTATTTATGATAGTGGGATATTGACTATTATTGCATCTGAACCTATCTGGCCCATTATGCCAGATATGTTTGTTTTATGAACTTAGAAAAATCATTAGTACAAATATATTTGTATCTTCTTGATGAATTGTTTTCTTTATTAATAGTGACCTTTATTCCTTCTAATTTTGGCTTGAAGTCTTCTTTGTCAAATATGAATATAATTATTCCTGCTTGCTTTCAGATCCTGTTTGCTTAGAATATAATTTTTCATCCTTTCACTATCAATCTGTGTGTGTCTTTGTGGGTGAGGTGAGTTTCTTGTGGACAATATATGGCGGGACCTTCTTTTTCTATCCATTTAACCATGTTGAGTCTTTAAACTAGAAAGTTAAGACTGTTTGCATTTGGGGTTATTATTGAAAGGTATTAATGTCTCCTTTATTTTAGGGCTTTGCTGCTTTTCTGAGTAAATAATGTTTGATTCTTTCCTATTTCTTATTTACTTATCTATTCTTCTAGTGGGACTTATTCTTTCCCAAGATTTGTGCTTGTATATATCTTTCTTCTTCTTCTAGGTATAGCATCCTTTTAAGTATTTTCTGCAATGCTGGCCTAGTAGTCATGACTTGCTTTAGTTTATGCCTGTCATGGAAGGTCTTTATCATTCCAATATTTTTGGTGATATGGGGGGTTGAACTCAGGGCTTCACACTTGCAAGACAGGCATTCTACCACTTGAACCACTCTGCCAGTCCTTTTTGCATTGGTTATTTTGAGATAGGGTCTTGCTTTATGTCTGGGCTGGTCTGGACTGTGATCCTCCTATTTTTACTTACCTACATAACTTAAATAACAGGTGTAGGGGTTTTGTGAACTTTTTGCCCAGGCTGGCCTCAAACTGTGACCATCTTGAACTCCCTCTTCCAAGTAGCTAGGAGTATAGGCTTGAGCCACCATGACTGGCTCTCCTTCAATTTTTGAAGGATAACTTTTTGGGATATAGTAGTCTTAGCTGGCAGTTATTTTGTTTCAGGCTTAAAATACATCTATCCATGCTCTTTCAGCCCTTTAGTGTTTCTGAGAGGTTTTCTATTACTTTGATAGGTAACAATCAAAGTGCCTTTGTAAGTAAGTAGATGCTTCCATCTTGCAGCCTTCAGTAGTCTTTGTTCTCTACTTTTGGTATTTTAAATGACATGCTGAGGTTCTTTTTATCTACCAGAATCTTAAACATGCATGTACTTGGATGTCCATCTCTTCTCCTAGATTTTGTAAGTTTTCTGCTATAATTTCATTAAGTTTTCTGTATCTTTAGTCTGTATCTTGGTCCCTGCTTTTATATAGATTTGTAGGCTTGGTTTCTTAATTGTGTCCCAGAGGTCTTGAATGCTGAGGTTATGATTACTTTCTTCTTTATTGTTATCTAAATGTAATTATTCCTCAACCTTGTCTTCAATCCTTGGTATTCTTTCTAGTCTACTGATGATTGCCATTGAGTTTTTTTTAATTTATCAAGCTTTTCATTTTCAAGATTTTTGTTCCTCCCTAACCCAGAATCTCTGTCTTTGCTGATTTTCTCTTCTAAATTTCTTGTCCAAGTTGTTGAATTTCTCATCCAAGTCTCAAATTGATTTCTTCGTTCATTTGTTTATTTGAATCCTCTGATGTCATTGATCATTTTAAAAATTAGACTTCTGAACTGCTTAACACTTCATATATTTTAGTATCTTTGGATTTAGTTTTTGAAGTGTTATGAACTTTTGGAGGGGTCATGGAGCCTTGTGTTTTCATATCTTGTGTTTTTAAGTTGTGATTTGCACATTTGTTGGGATGGATATCTCTTCCACTTTTACATGGGGAATATT